GGCCGCGGTGCTGCTGGCCGCGCGGCGCCTCGTGCGCCGCAGCCGCGCCGAGGAGCGGCGGCACCTGCTCTACCTGCGCGCGCTGGGCGCCACGGCGGCCCCGCACGGGGACGGGCACCGCGATGGGAACCGTGAGCAGGTCGGCACCGCGCTCTGACACCCCACGACGGGACAGGCACCGTGAGCCGCTCGGCACCGCGACGGGCAGCACCGTGAGCTGCTTGGCACTGAAACAGCCCCACACGGGGATGAGCACCGTGATGGGCAGCACCGCGCTCTGACACCCCGTGCGCCGGGATGGGCACTGTGACGGGCACCGTGAGACGCTCAGCACCGCGCTCTGACACCCCGTGACGGGACAGGCATCGGGACAGGCACCCTGAGCCGCTCGGCTCTGCGCTCTGACACCCCGTGCGCCGGGATGGGCACCGCGACGGGCACTGTGAGCGAATCAGCACCGCGCTCTGACACTGTGTGACGGGACGGGCACCCTGAGACGCTCGGCTCTGCGCTCTGACACCCTGTGCACTGGGACGGGCACCCTGAGCCGCTCAGCCCTGTGCTCTGCCGCCCGTGCCACCCCAGACCCCAGTCAGTGCTCCGGCTGCCTCCCCTCGGTGCCGGTTCCGCCCAGGCTCTGCTCCCCATGCCGGGGCAGAGAGTTTCTGCTCCCTTTGGGATGCAGAAGCCCCTGTCCAGGGAGCCGGGGTCGGGGGGAACCACAGGGCAGGGCCCCCCTTCCCCTCACCCCCCCACTGGGGTTTAGCCGAGCGATTACTTTGTAATCCCTGGATTTAGCCCCATGCAATCCCTGGGATTAACGCAGTGGCCCCAGCTGCTGCTCTGCTAATCCCTGTCCAGCACCTGGGAATGGCTGCTCCCATGCCGCAGTTTTGGGCTCCATCCATCCCTGGAGAGTTTGGGGAGTGTTAGGGGCTTCTTTACACCCTGCAGCCAAAGCTTGGAGCATTCCAAGGGCTCCCGCCCTTTCCCCTGGGAAAACCAGATCAAGAGGAGGTGCCAACATGCTGCAGAAGAGCCTGGCTCCCCCCTTTAAGCTATAACTACTTTAACCAAGCAGCGTTGGTGCCCTGTGCCGTAAAGCAGTTTTGGGTGAAATTTCTTTTACGATTAAGGCATGGAAAAGGGAAGTCCTTGTAGGAGAGATGTGAGGAAAAGAGCAAAGGCAGCGAATAGAAAGTGGGGATCTTTAATCCGTTCTCCACATGCCGCTCCGAGGTCAGTGGTGCCCGAGGCAGCAGAGCAGCATCCCAGGATCTCGTCGGGATCAGAGGAGGTTGGGAAGAGGCGCTGGAGGAGCCTGCGAGGCCGTCAGAGCTCGGAGAAGAGGGGCTGCTCCCGCACGCTGGCGCTGGCCATGGCCACGGGGCTGCGGCCGGGGCTGCCGCCGGGCGGCCGGGCGCTCACGAAGAAGAAGGGCACGTGGCTGATCCTGCCCGTGGACCAGCACTGCGGGAAGGAGGAGAAGCGCCCGCTCCTCATCTGTGCCCCCAGGAGCGCCCAGGCCGGAGCGCGGCGCGCCGGAGCGGAGCGGCACTCACCACGGTGAGGAGGGCGCCCTGCTTGAAGCAGGGCTGGAAGGCGATGAGCTGCGGCCGCGCGTCCTGCTCGCCCCGCAGGAACCCGCTGCGGGAGGAGGGAAGGGCCCCGTGAGCGCGTTCCTGCGGGAACGAGCCCGGCACGGCCGCGGGAACGAGCCCGGCCCCAAGCACGCAGGAAGGAGCGGCCAGATTCCAAGCCGGACAGTTTGCCCAAAACACAACCATTTCTGAGGCAAAACGTAGCACCCCAAGGGAGAAAGTTGCCCCTCTCTTCTGCTCTGTTCCGCCCCTTCCCAATCCCGTGGGATGGCCCCTTGGAGCAGCGCGGCGTGGGACTCGTCCTTGCGCTACGCACCACGGCAGGAGCTCAAACACGGGGCTGTTGCGGGTGCGAAACACGGCGATGACTGTGGAGCTCTCGGGAACGTCGGGATTCCCTGCGGGAAGGAGAGAGAACGAGCGAATGAGGCACTTCATTGTCTAAGGAAGAGCCGGATCCCAGTGCCCAGAGGGGCCTTTGCGGCAGCAGAGCCAGCCCAGAGAGGTCCTGTTTTTGTGGGAGCAGCTGGAGGGAACGGGACGCTCCAGAGTGCGGAGCGGGCAGAGGAAAAGCCTGGGAAAAAGCCGGCTCCGACCCCTTCCTCGGCCCGAGCCAAGCACCACCCTGGGAAGGGGCTTCCAAAGGCTCTTGAGCGAGGCAAAGGCTTCGCTCCAGCGGCCTTTCCTGCTGTGGGAGCCTGGCTTTTCCCTGGCTTTTCCACGGGAACGAGTGCTACCTCCGATGTCCCCCAGGCTGGTGGCCGGTGGGACATGAGCGGCACCCCCGGCCCCGCATCCCGGTGCTCCCTCAAAGGTCCCCTTTGTGCTGGGGAGGCTCCAGGCCGGGCTGCAGCCAGGAGGGCCTCAATGGTCCCATTATCCCAGGGGCTGCTCCATGAAGGCGGCCAAGAGGCTCCGGGCTCGTGTGGGAACACGCAGAGCTCCAGGGCGGTCTGTCCAGGTGATTCATCCCACAGAAAGGGGGAAGGGAAGTTGTCTGCTTCCCAAGCAGCCACTTCCAAGGACGCGGCGGCGCGACAGGGCCCGGGCGCCACATTCCCGACCCGGCTCCACCGGCTCTTATCCGCCGGGAAGGGGATTTGGGGGCAACGGGGCGGCGACGGGGGGTCTTTTACCACGGATGATCACGGCGAGTCTCTCCCCGCTGGGGTCCCAGGCCATGGCCGTCACCTCTCCGCCGATCCTGGAAGCGGCGCGGGACGCAGTGAGATTCCCTACGGCAACGGGCAGCGGCGCGGGGGGCACCAACCCCCCGGGCGGTTGTAGCAACAGGCAGCGGTGCCGGCCTCACCTCTCCTCGCCGCAGAGCGTCTCGAAGGTGGTTTCCGACAGGTCGGCCACGATGGAAGCCGTTTTGGATCCCCCCACCTGTCCTTGCATCTCCCCTGCAACGAGGCATTTCCCTCCCTTTCCCTGATCCCGCCTGGATTATCTTCACGCCCCAAACCGGGCCGGTGTTCGCAAAACACCTCGGAATTTCTGTTCCTCAGTGTCTGCTCCTGTGCCCAAACCATCCACCTGTGTTCCCAAGGGATGGCAGGGGAGGGTTTCCCTCTCCAACAAGATGCTTCCATGGGGAAAAAGCAGCAGGAGCTGGAAAACTTAACGCCCCTTTGCACTGGCAAGAGTTTCCCTGCAAAGTTTGGGCCTGTAAAGGGAGTTGGAGCAAAAGACAACAGGAAAGGGGGAAAACTGAGCGTATGGAGAGAGTCCTCCCGCCACGGTACTCACCGCTGTACTCGGAGAAGGACAGGGAGTAAATGACGGACTCGCCCAGCACGGAGAAGAGCAGGCGGCTCCCGTCGGGGCTCCAGCAGCCGCTCTGCGGGACACGCTCGTTACGCCCGGCTAACGAGCCCGGGGACGGAGCCCTTGGCAAGAGCCTCCCCGCAGGCAGCGGGAGCACCGGCGGGAAAAGGCCCTTTTCCCGGGCGTACCTGGCAGCGCCCTCGGAGCGTCGGCCACCGCTCGCATGTCCACGTCTGCGCCTCCCACACCCTGCGGGAGAGGCCGGAGGCTGCTGCGCAGACCCCATTCCTGCCCTTTCTGGCCCATTCCGCCCGTTGCGGGAGCCAGGTGGGACCGGGAGCCTCCCGGGAAGCACGAGGGTGAGGACAGGGTGTTGGGAAGGCGCTCACCTGAACACGGCCGAGGGGGTGGCCGCCAGGACCTTGCTGCCGTCAGGGGACCAGGCCAAGTAGGTGACGCCGCCGCCCCCGAACCACTGCAGCTGGACGCAGCTTTCGGTGGACACGTCCCACACCTACGAGGACAGGGACCCGGGTGGCCGCGCGGTGCCAGTGCCACAAGGGACGACGCGGTGGCACCGGTGGCCCAAGGACCCCGTCCTCACCAGCATGGCCGTGTCCACGGGCGAAGCGGAGAGCAGGAGGTCCCCGGCGGGCGCCCACGCGAGGCTGGTGACGGGGCTGTGCCCGGGGTAGGAGAGCACCTGGGCGCAGCCAGACGAGGGGCTGCGGGCAACGGAGAGCGGGAGTCGTCGCACGGAGCGGGCCGGCCGGGAGGGCACGGGGCGGCCGCCGGCTCCGCTCACCGCGTCGACAGGGACGTGGGGTCCAGGTGCCACACGAGGACGCAGCTCTGGCAGCCCACGGCCAGGACGGAGGCGCCCAGCGGCTTCCAGGCCATGGTGGCCACGTTCCTCTGCAGCCGGTGCTTCAGCGTGGGGACGGTGGCGCTGCCGAGGACGCGGCGGCGGCGGCGTCACCCGAGCGCTCCCGCGGGTCCCCTCGCCTGAACGCGCGATGGGAACGCGCCCCGCTGCCCTCCTCGCGGGGACGGGGACAGTGTGGGGGACAGCGCGGGGCCGCGGCCGCCTCGGCCGCGCACCTCGCGTCACCGAGCGCCGCGGCCCCGGGGTGACGCGCGGCCCCTGCCGGCTGGGAATCCCGGCTCGCGGGGAGCCCCCCCACAAGGCGGAAAAGCCGGGGGGGCCTCAGGAGGAGCCGGGCGAGGCGTCGCTTAAGGAGGGCCCTGTGTGTCCGGCGGGCGTCGCGCGCGGAGCACCGAGACCTGCGGGAGAAACGAGAGCCGCTGCCGCCCGCGCGGGCGGGCACGAGCCGGACAGGCTCCCGGCGGAGGCGAAAAAATGGGAACGGGCGCGATGCCGGCGCCTGCACACGGAGCTCTCCCGGGAAGCGCCGGGCATGGCACTCAGAGCTGCCTGCAGGATCCGCCGGGATGGCAAGCTAGGAAAAGGCCGCGGGGAGAGCGAGGAGGGACCGGCGGAGGGCGGGATCCCGGGCGCGCCGTCACCTGCTGGCGTTGTACACGCGGATGGAGTCGTCCACGAGAGCCACGGCGAACTTGCTGGCGTGGGGGTGCCAGGCGAAGGCGCGGATGGTGCAGCCGGCCCTGCGGAGGGGACAGCGCGGCCTGGGACAGCGGCACACGGAGCCGGCTCCCGGCATCCCGGCGCAAGGACTCGGCAGCTCCGTTTGCCAGGGAAAGGAGGATTCCAGCAGGCGCCGGCTTCGCAAGCTGAGCGGCACAACGGGAGCCGGGGCAGCGCAGTCCTCTCCCCAAAGCATCAGTGAAATTAAAAACTCCCCGTTTTGCTGCCGAGCGAGACCTTTTTCCATGATAAATCCCCTGTTCCTGGCGGTTACTCACAAGGCTCTGCGGAGCCGCCACCCAAACAGCTGGCGGCTGCTGTCCGGAGGATTGTCCAAGTTTACGGAAGGAACAGAGGGAACGAAGGGCCCGGGGCCCCGTCCCGCTCCCGCCAGGACCCTGCGTTGTCGCGCAGCGAGCGAGGCGGCCACGCGGAGCAGAGGGACAAGCAGCAGCCCAAACACCCCCCATTGGGACGAGGCGGGCCAGGAGCCCCCGGGCGCTGCCGTCCCGGCTTTCTGTCCCGCCGGCCCCCCGGGCGGCTCCGTGAATCCCGTTGTGCAGCACGGAGACGGGGCCCCGCGGAGCACGGACACGTGTGGCGGGGACACGCGGCACTCACCAGTCCACGGCTTGGGAGAACTCAGCAATCATGTCCTCGCTGGTCAGCTTGGGGACAAGCGGGGACAAGTTAGCGCCCACTTGGGACCCCAAAACAAGATCCCCGTCCGGGATGGGAGCCCTTCCATCCAGGAATGGGGGTTAATCCCCCCAAAACTCACGGAGAGGTGTGGGAAGAGGGAGCCGTGGAGCGAGGCCACGCGGTGGCACAGGGCGAGCGCCCAGCGGGAGCCGGTCGTCACCCAGTGCAGCGCTGCGGGACGGGAAGGGCCGTCGGAGCCGGGCAGGATCGGAGGCCGCTCCGAGGAGCCCGGCGGGACCGAGGCTTAGATCCGCAGACGGGGAATTTAACCCAAAACCCAGCAGCTCCGATAGGGCTTAGATCCCGCCTGGGCGCCCGCCTCTCCCGCGCTGGCACGGAGCCCTCCTCGCTCCGGGATGCGGAGCGCCGTGATGCCGAGGACGGGAGCGAAGCGGGACTCACCTTCATCATCGGCGCCGGCCACCTCGCTGAGCACCCCGCGCAGCCCCACGTCCCTCCTGCAACGGGGGGCCCATGGGTGCCCCGGGGACGCGGAGCCACCCACGGCTTTGGGTGGTGGCTCCGGGTCCCCACCGCGTCCCCCCGGTCCCGCCGCGGCGGCGGGGCAGCTCACCAGGCGCGGAGGCAGCGCTTCCAGAGGGATTCCCGCTGGTGGATGAAGGGCGGCCTGGTGCCCGGCTCGGAGCGGCCGGGCGCCTTGAGCGCCTCGCGGGGCAGGGTGAGCACCGGCAGCGCCGCCAGCTGCGGGGGGCACAGCGGGCTGAGCGGGGGCACGAAGGGGGGTATGGGGGGGAGGGAGGAGGGTGTTGGGGGG